ACTTTGCATTTAGATTATAACATATATGGATCATAACAAGTAAATTACTACCAGGTAAAAATGATGAGATGGATTTGTTTTAAGGATTTTGGAAGATGAAGTTATAATATATATCTTATATTTTTATTTTTTTGTGTAACCTTTTTTTTTTTATTTTCCTTTTATTAAACGTAGCTGTCCTGTCTGGGTTATATCAATTTTTTTAAGTTTTGATTTTGATGTAAAAAAAAATAACGTCAACTTTTGCCTTAAATAAATTATAAGTTGATATGTGTGACTTGACACTTTGAATTGTGAATTAATGGAGTTTCTATTCATGAATGGTGGAACCAAATAGTGAATGATACGTGACTCAAGAGTGCTGACAAGTGAAAACCTTGTTTTATTGTAATTACATAGTTTTTTTTTTTAACTTTTCTCTATTTATCTAGTTCAATAATGCTTCTATAATTAAATATTTTAACTTAATTCCTTAATCATTAAAATCAACTAAATATGACTTATTTTATCTAATTAAAGTAATATGGTTATTGTTGTGACTTTTACTTAAGGGTATTAAAATGGATTGGTTTGACATATTAATTTAAAAAATTAAATAACTTAAACTTTTTATTTTATTTTATATCGGAATAGTCTACATATCCAAAACCTACATCTACATAGAAGATTCCAGGCTGATTTCAATTCATGGGCCGAATCAATCCAGTTCATTTTCACGGCCCAACGTTCAATCTTTCTAACGTCAAATTTATAACCATATGTAAGATAATCCTTGTAAAATCTATTTATAAATCTTATTTCATTTAAAAAATTAAAATTATAAGAATAATTTATAAATATTTTTTTAATCCAAACAATAGATAAAACTTTGACATGTTATGTTTGTCATAAAATAGATCAATTATTCATTAAAATATAATTGATTGTACATTAAAAGGTGATTACTGTATAATATTAAAAGATAAGGTAACCAATATGGTGCATTATAGAAATTATAATATATAATACTTATTTATAGAAAATCATTTTTATGTACAATATTTATTAACTCTTTGTTAAAAAAAACTAACAATTGAAAAATTTAATTTAAAATATTTTTATTAACTGTCTCATTAAAATTATGTAAATTAAGATATATACAAAAATATATAAAAATAAAAAAACATTTTTTAACACCGACATCTTACAAATAAAGATGAGATATATACATGTGAATATGAAGTTATTTAAATTTGTATATATTTACTAAAAAATATTTATGTATAATTAAAAAAGTAGAAATATATTAAAATTAAAATTTTATAAAATTATAAATTTAACCATGGATTGTGAAGATCTGACAAATCTTTATATGATAGAATGTGACCAAGTACAAAGTATTTGTTTAACTTGCATGGTGTCAGCTTAAGATTCTTATATTGATGTCAAGAGTGCCACGTTATCTCTTCATGCAGTTTATCCTTCGTGTCTTTCCTTGCTATCACCGTCCCTGATCTATATGTTTGTTTCTGTGTATGATCCCTCAGATTCAGCAACATTTATTAAAGCTAGAACAGCAAACAACAACATCTGAGCTCCTACATGTTTTGTGATTCTTCTGTGACGTTTGATTTTCGTCAACCAAATTAGCTTTATAGTCATTGTTATATACATAGAGAGATATATACTAGTTGGGTGAGTGGTGTGAGAGTAACCATTATTGTAGAAATTTGTTAATTGGAGAAAAAATAAGTGGGTATGGTGCCCTTCAGTTTGATTTGGGAGGGTGTCAAGAATTTGGCTACCGATCATGCACCAGTGGTGCCCATTTCACTATTTGTGGCTGTTCTCTGTCTTTGCTTGGTCATTGGTCACATGCTTGAAGAGAATCGATGGGTTAATGAATCCATTGTTGCCATTATAGTAGTAAGATGCATTATCTCTCCATTCTAGATTCATCATAATGCACTTAGGGTTCTTTTTTCTCCTTTATCAGCTATGCATGACCATCTCTTGATATGACAAGAATGGTTGAAAAGATTTCCTACACGGAATCAGATATTATATGATTAGTTTTATTATTTTCATGAAGAACAGTACTTGTTTTTTGGTTTTCCAGAAATAGTTCTAACTAGAAAGAGTTATTCTTCTCTCTTTTTTTTCTTTTTTTCTCTGCTGTTCCTTAACTGGGTGATTTTTTTCAGACAACCACTCAATACAAATACTTTTATGATAGTTTTGTAGGATTATCAAAAGAAATAAATGTTGAATACAGATAGTCATTAAGCCTTTGTGCATCTAAATTTCTCCTTGGTAGGGAATCATTGCTGGAATTATACTATTATTGGTCACCAAAGGAAAGAGTTCTCACATCCTTACATTTAATGAAGAACTATTCTTCATATATCTCCTTCCTCCCATAATATTCAATGCAGGGTAAGAGTTTATATTATGTAAGACTAACTCTTGTGGTTCAAAACTTTTTTTTTATGGCTTGAGTTAACCCTCTTAACAGATTTCAGGTGAAGAAGAAACAGTTCTTCCATAACTTTTTAACCATCATGTTGTTTGGTGTCATTGGTGTTTTTATTTCAACGTCTATTATTACTTGCGGTAATGAAAAATCTCATAGTTCTTCCTTGCCTTGTAGTTTACCACTATGAAAATTTGTCTGGAATAACTTTAAATCTTTGGTTCACCTAGGCAGCTGGTGGATATTCCCCAAGTTGAAGTTGCTTGGCCTGAGTGGACAAGATTATCTTGGTGAGGTCATTGCATCATCTCAATACTACACAGAAACACAGACTATATTTATAATGATCCATGTATTTAGATATATCGGATTTGCATGAAATCTAATTAGTTCATCTTAATTATGTTCAGCTATAGGAACAATTTTCTCATCAACGGACACAGTTTGTACACTGCAGGTTGGTTAGATTGGTAAATGGTTTACTTTTATCTTACTCTTTTCGCGTGTTTTTAATTGTCCAACTCTGAATTTGGAATCTATTATAGGTTCTCCATCAAGATGAAACTCCTCTACTATACAGCTTAGTCTTTGGGGAAGGAGTGGTAAATGATGCCACCTCAGTTGTTCTCTTCAATGCAGTGCAAAAGCTTGATGTTACAAGATTTAGCAGCAAGACATTCCAAGTTATTGGAGATTTCTTCTATCTATTCGTGTCAAGCACTGGTCTTGGAGTTCTAGTGAGTTTCATTAATGAAAAATTTTATGCAAAATTGGCCTAATAATTTTTTTCAGGTGTTATCATATGACTTTATGAATTTCTTTGAATTCTTTAGTCAGTTGTTGGTGTTTCTTTCACATGCATCTTATGTTACCTACTTGTTTCATATCATTTCTTTTAATAAATGCATATTATGCAGGCTGGCCTTCTCACATCATATATCTTGAAAGCCTTATGCTTTGGAAGGTATGAATCATTCTCCAAGAGTTCTCACGAAATAGGCTTTTCAAGTGAAATTTTGAGTACATGTTTACAAGTTTGCCTCTGTATATGCATGCAGACATTCAAGTATTCGAGAAATTGCATTGATGTTGTTAATGGCATACCTGTCCTACATGTTGGCAGAGGTATTGGAATCTAGAAATTTTCTGCTTGATTTGACATTAGTTGCAAGCTATAGAACTAAATGCGTTTGGGTTCAGTCAGCATTTAGGTAGCTAAGTTTATGGAGCTTTGGGCTTTTTTATAAAGGTTTCTTTACTTCCTCTTCATTCTTCTTGTGACTTTCTCTCGTTATTTGATACTTTGAGATGGAAGAATGGAGATATGGCAGCAGGGGTCTGGTTGGCTAACCTCGCCTTAAGTTTTACATCAATCCAATTTAGTGTAAAACTAGCCATATGATTTTAACCTAAGCCTTCTATGTTTGGACAATCTATTTTTGTCTACAAATGAACTAAACTACAAGTCTAAAAATAACTTCCTTTTTTTGTTTTGGTCATCCTTCTTAATTTCAAATTCTTTCAGCTATTTGATCTAAGTGGAATCCTCACTGTTTTCTTTTCTGGAATACTAATGTCACATTATGCATGGTATAATGTGACTGAAACTTCAAGAATCACAACCAGGTATGGATTAATCTATCAAAGATTTCAGTCATTTTCAGATTAAACGGTCTTAGGTTCCTGAATTGTTTCCCTTCTCCAGAAATGTGTTTGCGACAATGTCATTTATTGCAGAAACCTTCATATTTCTATATGTGGGCATGGACGCCCTAGACATTGAGAAGTGGAAGATGACTCAATTAAGGTCCTGATCCTTTCTACTACACTAAACAATTGTATTTTATCCAGACTTCAGTAGGGACTAATGCATCACACTGATGGCATGTATTGATGGTCTAATTCATGTTCTTGTGTAGCACATTTAGTAGTTACCGATTGCTTAGTGTCACTACCTACATAGATAAGTTAATGGGATTTCAGCAACTGTTTCAACATTCTCCGAATAGTTATCAGATTGTGATACAATTGGGTATGATCAAGAGAACATTATCTTTAGTGATAAAGTATGATCTTCTTCTAATTGTGAAACATTCGGTAATAATTGGATTATGAATAAAACCAAATGTTGACTACCTTATTTTCTGCTGCTTGAAATTGTTTTCTAGATGACACACTAGATCATAAGTATTTGTTATTTTGCAATATCTGTGTTCCTAGAATTTTTCTTAAGAATAATTTGCGAGATATCTTGCAACATATATCACATTAGTATAAAAAGCCTTATTTCTTCTAATAAAGATTTTCTTGTCAACTAATTCACTGCAGTTTTGGAAATTTGCTGGGGATATACAGTTCCTTAATCCTATTGATATTGCTTGGGCGCGCAGCATTTGTGTTCCCTCTCTCTGCTCTTGCCAATTATACGAACACACGTGCTGCTTCTGACCAAGCATCAAGCATCACTTTCAAACATCAGGTTGCTAAACATGTTTTGTATGATAATCTCATATTAACAGTTTATTGAGAAAATATCTGTGATTATTTATTGGCTTCTTAAGTTTAATAAATCGTCCAGATAATCATTTGGTGGGCTGGACTAATAAGGGGAGCTGTCTCTATTGCTCTGGCTTTCAAACAGGTATATATGCATGAAATTCAAAGCTCAACACTAATTCATCAAATAAACGACTGTTAATCAGAAGACTATCAGTTTGTCATTCATCTTTTGTTGGATAATCATATCGGCGTTCCAACATTGCATTATTGACAATTGTGATATGTATGGAGATTCCTTGAGCAGTCATGAAACAACCAATACACTAATACCTTAAGAAGCTGGTGCCATTGATTTCTCTTTTTATTTATGCAGTTTACATATTCTGGAGTTACTTCTGATCCAGTTAATGCAACAATGATTACCAACACCATTATTGTTGTCCTTTTCAGCACACTGGTGCGTTGATGCATTCCCTATGTCCTCAAAGTAACAAATAACAACTTAGAATAGTTCAGGTGGAGATAAAAATATTAATTCCCAACTGTTTTCTTCAAATAAAGAGAAATAAACTCTTGCATCTGCTGTCATCCAGCTTTGATTACATGCTCCTTGTTCATTCTTATAAGTTGGTCTAACCTTTAAGTAATTGATATAGCTCCAATATCATTGCAGGTGTTTGGTTTTTTCACAAAACCACTAATCAGATATCTGCTACCCCACACGGCTACAAGGAAAAACATCATCCATGAAGAGTCAGGTCCACCAGTTGAGGACTTAAATCTACCTTTGCTATCTCTTGATGAGTCAGCAGCAACCAACATCAGCCGCGCAAAGGAAAGTTTATCCATGTTATTAGAAAGTCCTGTCTTCACCATACATCACTATTGGAGGAGGTTCGATGATGCTTACATGAGACCCTTTTTTGGGGGACCTCATCATAATGGGTCAGAGTGCTAGCAGTATTCCAAATCATTGATATCTCGGTGCACTTGAATGTAGGAGCACAAATGATGATCCATCTGAATCCATTTTTTGAAGATGAGTGGCTGCAATGAGGAATATAGTAAGTAATAAGGAACCGGCTGTCTTTGGATTATCACACAAGAGTGTGAGCATCCTTGAAGCTTTAAAGAAGTGCATATTTTCCTTTGGACATGAATGTTGTGGTATGTCAGCAGAGGCAGACTTTTGAATTAATGCATCCTGCTGACTAAAGTAGTTTTATTAAGTTCGTGAGCAAGTGATTTTGTGCATTGTCTTGTTTTGGATTGTTGCCTTTGTTAGTGCATTCAAATCATTCAAATACTTATATTCTAATCCATTTATTTATTTGTGCATTAAATTCAGAAGAAAAAAAAAAGAGACACAAGCATTTTATTCGGCTACATATTGAAGTCGCATGATACATGGCTTGATATTTTGAGTAGTAGCGCATCAAACACCATTGTAGACTAGATAGGAGACTGATACATCATACACCTCGCAAACATGCGAGGAAAAGACAGATTGAAAATAAACTACTCATTTATTTGAGGGGCTCAAAATGCCAATTTAAAAGCTTCTCCAATATTAGTACAGCACAGGAAAGCAAATTAAAGTCTGAAAGGGTGCTCAAATGGCTGTGACTCTCGAGAATTTCTTCAAACCACTGCATAATAAAGAAGACTTAGTCAATAAACACTGCCTAGTCAGTCTAAGTTGTATTTATGTTAATAAAACGTTCTACTCAGCCAGAAGACTATTACCTCTACATTCAGGTGGTGTTTTCAGACCACATTTACTGGGCAAGGCCAAAGCATTGGTGGGGTTCAATCCAAATGCAGGTAGCATAGACTTGTATCCGCAAAGGCAAGGCAAATTGGAATGCCTAACAACATCACAGCATTTTTCAGTTGGTTTTGGAGGGTATATCCCAGTAAGTGCTGCATAGCATGAGCTTAGCTTACTTGAATCTGTGTCACATATAGCAATAGCTTTGGCACCACCTAACATGGCAATGAGCAAGGTTGCTACTAGCCACTGCACCAAAACAAAGCCACTAGTATGTGTCATATTCTCCTTAACCAAGTTACCAAGCAGCTAGGTCTAATCTACACTTGTGGTTTTGCCTTAATGTTAATTTATATAAACTGCAGTTTGGAGTGTTGATGGATTAATATTTTGTATTGGTTTCACATACTTTTAGGTGTGTCATGTGAATCCACTCTTTAGATGAGATATTCTCGAGATTGGTTTATTTTAGAATTAAAGATTTGATCTTAACCACAACCTAACATAGACTGGTCCATTACTTACACTTGGGAAAAAAAGAAAGACAAAAGAGAGCCCTGTTGCAATGAGGATTGAATCTGCTCCTGCATGAATTTGCACTGAACCTTATTTGGCTGTTTTCTATGTCTAAAATAGATGTTAGTTAAAGAAGTAAAAAAAATCTTAAAATAGTCTTTCACATAATACACGACACAGTATTTGTATATTGTTCTTTCATGTTATTTCTTGCAAGAGATTAAGATTCTTTTGCTCTCGTATCTAATAAAATTCAATTAACTTTATTATTGTTAATATATCAAGTAAAAGTGTGTGTTAAATATGGAGATAAGTCTACTTGGAAATGACTGGTTTCAAAACATTGAGAAGCAAGTTTTTAATTCCTAAAAAGAGGTGTTTTTATTTAAAAATAATATATGTTAAATTATAAATTAAAGAATGAAATTAACGTATATTCTTTCGAAAAATAAAAGTATCTATTACGATTTTATTATTAAGAATATTTTGGTAGGTTAAAGAAAAAATATTTTAAAATAATTTTTAATCTTTATTTTTAAATAATGTGAGATTTTTAAGTGTATGTTAAAATATTTTGTTTCTACAGACAGAAAATTTTGAATTATTTATAAAAGAAAAAACATGAGACAAACCAGAAAAAATGTAAATTAAAAGTGGAAAGTTGATGTTCACATATTTATGTCTTAATTGGATCCATGGGTACGGAATAGTAGAAAATGTAACTGTCTTTTTAAGTATTGGAAACAAAATTTTATTGTTCGTTGATCATATCTTCTTTAAATAGATTTGCATAAATATACTTACGATTTTATACAATATATATAAATATACATACCTTTCTTCAAGATTTTTTTTATGGCTATGATTTTCCCGTAACAAAAGTGGGAAATCCTGAAATGGCAATTTAAAATCAAACCCACCTAATTTATTGTTAGTTCCCTTGTTTTAGAAAAAAGTATTTTTAATAGAATAATGAATAGATTAAGTAGTTTAAGCTCTCTTTTTTTTTTAATCTAAACTTGATTAGTAGACGATTTCTCCTTTTAATCACATTTTTTATTTATAAAATTTGAATTTTTTTACATCATTCTTCAATTTTGATGAGATTGTAATTGAAACTTGTAATTAAAAAGTCAGAGTCTTATCTGTTAAAATAGACATATATACTCTAATTTTACAAAAGAAAAAAATAATTTTATTGATCAAAGCATTACATAAAGGTCTCGTGATAAGCCAACATAGTGGAACATCACGCTATCAGTTTTCATAATTTTCAGAGTTTTGCACACACTTTCTTTGGTAAACAAACCATCTTAATGGTCTTCAACTTCTCGACTTCCACTCCAACCTTCAAGGTGTTTCCTATGACCCTTGCATTGAACACCCCTTCACCATGATTTGGCAACAATACCAGCTGACACTTGTTCACCAGTGCCTCAGACAAAGACCCTGAGTACCCACAAACGGTAACAAAGCACCCCACAGAAGGGTGCTCCAAAATGAACTGGTGAGGAACAGATCCACCACTCACAACCCCTCTTCCTTGAACTCTCTCTTTAAAACCTTTTGGAAGTGCTGATTCCACACACTCAAAACCCTTAGGGGGTCTAAGTGATGCCACAAAAGGCATGCCTGATAGTTCAAGCCCCAATAGCAGTTCCTGAAACTGACATGGTTTTAAAGTGCACTCACTACCAATTGAACAATAAGCCACAGAGCCAGTTCCAAAATTTCCAAGCCAGTTAGCCCAATTTTTCTCAGAATGGCATGTTGTTTCCTTTGGGATAATAACATGTTCTTGAAGCGACACATGCCTCCTATGATAATCAACATAAGCTCCTTCAATCACTCTACAACCTTTGAGTCCGGTTGCATAAGATTGAGTTAGAGTACTATTAGTACAACGTTCAATGCAAACAATGCCTTTACCATGATCAACTCTTCCTGATCCAGCAAGGAGTTTTGGTTCGTGCAAGAGGTGATGGTGTTCAGTTATGTTGCAGTAGTACCCTTCAGATATCCCTGAAGGGTATAAATATGATAATTCACAAGTCAATGATGAAGGGCTTATAACATAATAAACTAAAGACTTAATGCCTAAGCACCGAGTTAAACGTGGTTTTGGCACCCAATACGCATGATCAAAGAGCACAATGTTTGGTTTTAGCTCAAGGAGGTGAACTTCAATGTCCTTCTCATATAGGACCATTGGAGTCATCAAAAGTGAGACAGTGGAAGAAGGAACTTCTGATGTGGCTTCAGCAACATGGGGAAGGCCATGATGATCATTGTGAGGAACACAGATTGGGATAAGGGAGATGAGACTAGGGTGTTGATTGAGGTGTTGGAAGATTGCATGTGTGTGTTTTGGGATGAAGAGAGAGATTGAGTGTCCTCTTTCGGCAAGGTTGTTGGAGAGTTGAAGAAATGATGAGATATGTCTCGTTGCAAACCATGGGAGAATTGCCATGTGCAAAGAAGGTGAACAAGCCATAATGGCCAAAAGTTGAAGTTAAAAGAGACAAGAAAATCCAAGAGGGAGTGATAAAGGGTGATAAAGGGTGTGTAAGATGTGACAATCAACTTGCTTGCAACACAATTTATAGGAAAAAGTTCATGGAAAGCATGGTGATAAGTCACACTTTTGTTCTTTTAACATAGAGAAAAGAAATAAAAATAATAAAATGAAAAGTGAAATAAGAGTAAATTAGAAAAAAAATTAAAATCAACAAATTTTTATTGATGAAAAATAATAAATATTATTACAGTTATTATTATTTATTTTTTTTACTCTATTTTTACTCGATATTTTCAACCACATGATAGAGGAGACCTTAAATTTAATGAACTAATAATAGAAGAGAGATGAAAAATTAAAGTATCACAGGAATTGGTGAAAGTAGTTGAAAAGTAATGGTACCCTATATTTATTGTTTATAGCCTCGTAGAAGAGTTTTACAGCTAGCCACGTAAAAGCGTGTGGACCTCACAAATGTCGCACAAATTACGTTAAAAATTGATATTGTGTTTGTTTATTATTACGTTGGACTAATTGTGTTTTTTACCTATTTTTTGTTATTTAATATGTAATTTTTTTTTAAATATTTTCGAAAATAAAAGAGAATAGTTTTTATTTACACAATATATATTTTTTTTAATATGTCATGTCATGTTGCACGCATTCCACCATCGAATTATCCCATCCATCCAATTTTCTTAAAATATTGATGGAAAGAGTACAGTGGTAGACATGTTCGTCGTGTTGACCCGTATATAAATCATATTTTTAAAGTCTGGATAAATTTTATTAGATTAATCAGTTAATACATAATCTATTTTAAAATTTAAATATAAAATTTAAAATAAAATATACATTTTTAAAATTTAAGTTATATTAATAAATTTAATTTTAATTTTATATATAATAATTTATATATAAATTTATATATATATATATATATATATATATATATAATTTCACATAGACTAAAAATTTCATAACTTTATTCTCTACGTTTCAAACTATATAATATTTTATCTAAATAAATTGTTTTAAATATATGACATTTTTAAAGTTTATGACGATATTAATTACTATTTTACTCATTATATTTTTGTCCTTCAATTATATTTATTGTATAGAGCAGAGATAATAAGTTATTTAAAATGTA